GTCCATCATCCTATTCCAGCCTCAGTTTCCCCACTGGGCTACTGGGAGGGTCTAAGAGAAACATATAGATGAGTTTCCTCAAAACACCTCAGTATTTTAAGGTTGTGTCCACTGCTTGGCACTCATCCCCTACCACTGGCCCCTTTCCCCAGCAGGGGCAGGGATGGGCACAAAACACAAAACCCTGGGAAACAGTGCATGATGGAAGAAAGAGGGAAAGCCAGTCATAGACAGCTCTGGCCTGTCATTCCACTCCCAGGAAGCAGAAGCACGAGGACTGTAGCGAAGTCTAGGCTAGAGAGGACTACAGAGTTAGTCTCAACAAACAAACAAAAAAATAAAAACCACAACGAAAACACAGAAAACCAACAAACTCACCACAAGGCACTGATGTGGAGAGCTGGCTGGCACCCATAGGTATTCAGTATCTGACTTCCTCCTGACAGTAAGGATGAACCCCCCTTGGCTTCTGTGCTCTGTGGTCAATACTTGGGGTTACACACCTGCCTTCCCAGAGCAAAGACCTAGCTTCTCTGGCTGGCACCCCACATGTAGCCCATCCACAGTGGCCTGGAAGAGGTGTTAACACTTGTTCATGTCCAACGTGGTGCCTTAAATGTGTCTCTGGATCCTTGGCGCTGTCATGCCTCTGGCTGGCACACTTGTTGGTGCCCACCTGGAAGCTGATGCTGCTGCGGATTTCAGTGTGTGGTTCTTGGGGTCATAAAGATGTTGTTTGGTACCACAGGCAGTCTTATCAGACTGACTAGAACATATACTGCCCATCTGTAGTCCAATGACACATTGACTGGCCTTCATGGTGTCATCATGGAAGTTTCCTCTGATGTTTGACCTGGATGTCCACACCACTCTGCAGCCCTTTGGCTTTGGCCTTCCCTGCTGTGAAAGGAGAGACACTTGTACCTGTGTCTTGTCCCCAGTTGGGCAAGTAATTCTTATTAATTCAGAGGGTCACACACAAAAAGAGCACGAGAGTGTGAGGGGGACTTGGTGAGAAGGGCTTTGGCAGGAGAAAGGAAGGATGAAGGAGGGAAATAGGGGAGAAAATAGCTAACGTTAATTATTTAGATATATGAAACTTAAGCAAAATGCAAAAGGATTACCAATAAAACAAGCCAATCTCTTTATTAGTAAATTGAACCCATTAAAAAGAAGAAATTGGGGCCGGGCAGTGGTGGCTGCAGGCCTTAAATCCCAGCACCCAGGAGGCAGAGACAGGCAGATCTCTGTGAGTTCCAGACCAGCCTGGTCTACAAGAGCTAGTTCCAGGACAGCCTCCAAAGCCACAGAGAAACCCTGTCTCAAAAAGCAAAAATAAATAAATAAAATAAAAAATAAGAAAGTGGAGCTGGGCAGTGGTCCACACACCTTTAATACCAGCACCGGGGAGGCAGGGGCAGGTGGATCTTTGTGAGTTTGAGGCCAATCTGGTCTACAGATCAAGTTCCAGGACATCCAGGGCTACACAGAGAAACCCTGTCTTGAAAACTGAAAATAAATAAACAAACAAATAAATAAAAAGAAGAAAGTGTAGAAGGACTGGATGAATAGCCTCTTTTGTTGTCCCCACTGGCACTGGATCTGTCTCTCCTTTGCCATTTTGGTTCTGTATTTTTGCTTGTTAGTATGTTTTGAGACAGTGCTATTTTGTAGTCTGTGGTGGCCTGGAGCTCATGGTAATCCTCCTGCCTCAGTCTCCCAAGTGCAGGGATTATAGGTGTCAGCAAGCATGCTCAGATTTTTTTAAATGTATCTTAGCAAGGCTACGATAAAGCAATTTAGAACCCATAATACATGTTAGGACATAGTTTTTGTGCTTAGGATCACAAGTGTTTGAACCAAGTAATTACTGCACAATAGAGAACAAGTTAGGGTGCTGTCCTTTCCAGCACACTCTTTTAGTGTCCATTAGTTTATTTATTGCATCATTTAGTACTTGTATATACAGGAGTCAAAGGTTAAAGTAAATAATAATGACAGGACATGGCATTGAATTTGAGTATCAGTAACAATGGAATGTACAATTAAAATTCATGCTTTTCTCATTAATCTATTTATTTATTTTGTATCTTGAGACAGGGTTTCTCTGTGTTTAACAGCCATAGATGTTCTGGAACTCACTCTGTTGACAAAGCTGGTTTCCAACTCACAGAGATCCGCCTGCCTCTGCCTCCTGAGTTCTGGGATTAAAAGGTGTGTGCCACCACCTCCCAGCTTGTCTTTTATTTTGAAGAACTTATAGGGGAGCTTTATTTATTTTCATTTGCTTATATGGAAATGAACTCAAGTCATCAGGTTTGCCTGGAACTCACTATATAGACCAGGCTGGACTGAAACTCAGAGATCCACCTGCCTCTGCCTCAGGAGAGCTAGGATAAAAGGTGTAGACCAGCATGCCCCATGTGTTTTTATTTATTTTCATAGCTGAGACTTAGAAGTGGCTTCCACATCTTGCCTTATTCAGTAACTCAGCCAGAAGGCTGTTTAATCTCCTCGATGGTCATTTCCCTCACGGTCAGTGAGTGAGTCATAATGCGGTCTACTTGGCAGGCTATTGGCAGGACTGACAGAGAGGGGCTCAGGGCCCATCAGAGGGCCTGGGGCACAGGAACTCTAAGTAAATATGTCTGTTCTCTCTGCCCCTGGCTATTTCCTCCTGAATGTGCTGTTCAGGGGAAGCTCCTAGCAATTCCATTTTCCACTCTCTCTGTGACTTGGCAGGTCAGCCTTCCTCCATACCTGGCTGACCTTCCGTTTCTGTACATGTCCCTTACCTGGAAGCTTTTGTTATCTGTTGTTCTCCACATGCAAAGCTAAGAACAGGGATGGAAATTGCGACATTGTGACAATCTGTTTCCTCATGACAAGTCATCAGGTTGTTACCCTCTAGGGAGCTGCTGTGGTTTAGTCACAGCTTCTTCATTTCAGCCCCCTTTTCTTCAGTTTCCCAATTTTCTTCTTATAAAAACATTGATCAACAGCCCTTTTAAAGATGACAAACGTGGTAAAAAAAAATACAGAGGAATAAAAATCAATAATTCCTTAGCTAGAAGTAGTCATCATGATCTTTCTTCCTGTTTGTTTAAAAACAATGGTAATAATTGTGGTGTGTGTGTGTGTGTGTGTGTGTGTGTGTGTGTGTGTGTCCATGTTGTGAACAATCAAACCTAGGGTCTTGAACAAGCTAACTTTGTCCTCTACCACTGAGTTATGCCTCTAGCATTTCTGTTTAAAATTTTAAAATAGCTGGGAGCATTCTATTCATACCATTTGATTTTTTTTTTCTTTCTTTTTTTTGGTTTTTGAGACAGGGTTTCCCTGCGGCTTTGGAGGCTGTCCTGGAACTAGCTCTTGTGGACCAGGCTGGTCTCTAACTCACAGTGATCCAACTGCTTCTGCCTCCTGAGTGCTGGGACTGAAGGCATGTGCCACCACCGCCCAGCCTGATCTTGATTTTTTTCCTTGTTTAGTTATCATAACATTTTTTTCTTGTGAAAATGTTTACCTCTTAAGCAGCCCATAATATCTCACTATTAGTTGTGCCATAAAATCCTTAGTCTCTGTTTGGACATTTATGTCTAGGTTTCTGCTTTATAAATACAATGTCATTATAATTAAGAACACATTCCTAAGTAACAGGACTGCCGTGGGTAAGAATCTCTGCCCCAAAGAAGAACAAGTTTGCCTTTGCCAATATTACTTATTTACTAGGTCCATAGTAACTACAAGTCTATTGCTACATATGTTTTCCTCCCAGAAATATTGTGACGTTTCAGCCTGATGTGTGAACTACAGGACAATACCTTGTTTCCCTCAGCACCTACAAATGGGTGATATTCACCTCATTTCATTTTTCAGTGCTGGAAAAGGAACCTAGGGCTTGGCAGATTAGGGAAGCCCCATGTCACTGAGTTAGATATTATGCCTGGCAGGCTAGGGAGGCCTATGTCATTGAGCAAGATTCTCAGGCCTTGTAGGCTAGGGACGCCTGTGTCATTGAGCTAGACACTTGGGCCTGGTGTTGGTGAGTTTTCTTTTCTAGGATTTTGTTTCTTTTCTGTGAGGTATTAGTCTTTCTATTTCTGAAGTTTAGCTTTTGAAAAGATCCTAAATTAGCCCTTTCATCTTGGGTCATGTCTACACAGCCTGCCTTTTTTGTGATTGCTGATTTCTATTTGCGGGGAGGATGGGAGGATCTCTCTACATATCCCCGCCTGTCCTGGAACTTACTAATAGACCTGGCTGGCCTTGAACTCACCAAGATGTGCCTGCATCTGTCTTCCAAGTGCTGAGAGTTCCAGTGCTGCTGTCAGGATATGTCTGGGTTAGCTTATCCTTTATTTTTCACCTGCAGTCAACCAGTGTACAGAATGCAGCCAGCCAGCATGCTTGAGCATTTTGTTATGACACATGTTTGCTAACCCAAGAACAAGCAATGCATAGACTGGGGACAGATTGACAAAGTGTGCCTTGTTCCCCACTCTGCACACTGAAAAAACAAAACAAAACAAAACAAAAAACCTTCTGCTGTCAGTGACAGGAGGGTGACAGCTGATGGTTTAGGACTTTTGTTTCCCTTCGGACCTGGTTAGAATGTACAGAGGGCCACTGTATGACATCAGGAGTGGTCCTCGGAGCAAGCACTTCATGGTGTGCATTTGCATAACTCCCTGACTTCACTAGGTGGCCTGAGAGAGTGTGTCACAAAGCAGACTTGAATCTCCAAAAGAAAACAACAGCTCTTTTGAATTATGTTAGGAGAGAAACCGAGTTTCCACATGTTTTATGAAACACAACCAGGTGCTTAATACTTGCAGGTGTTTAATTACTGGCTTTAGACACAAGTCCTCAGAGAAAGAAGGAGGAGGAGGAGGAGGAGGAAGAGGAAG